GGGGGGGTATTATTTTTGATGAACTTTTACTTTTTGGGCACACAATTTTATTTCCACTTTTTCTTAATATCCATAAAAGATACAAACCTGATAAAAGAAGTATTAAGACTAACTTTTATACTCTCTAATCTGTAAAACTCATTCTTAAATCTATCTCCTGATAAGCCTTTAATTTGAAATTATCAATCAAATTTTGCTTCTTCTTCTTTTTAGATATTATTGTTGATTAATATTTCTAGTGTAGGATAGAGGAATTTCTAAAAATTTAAAGAGAATACAAATTCGATTGACTTGGGATTATTTCAATTTAATTTACATAAATCTTTCTAAGCATGGATAAAGATTTTCTATTTAGAATCACTATAAATAAATTATAATTCCACCCCATAAGATTAATGCAAAGATAGGATTAAGTCATTATTATGGGTAAAGACCATTTTTCAATTCTCTTAGAATAAGAACGTAAAATTTTTGAAGATTAAGCCTCTTTGGGAATTGCCTGAAGAAATCATTTTATAAATTTTTTATTTATGATTTATTATTAATTTTATTCAAGGATTGTCTACAGTATCTAATAATCTAATCAGAGCTAGAATTTTTATTTGTGGTATGAATTTACTGGTCCAGAAACATTTGTTGATATATTAAAATTAGATTCCAAGTTCTGAGGAATCTAATTCAATCTGATCTTTATAGTAGAGAGTTTCTACTCCTACTACTTTTAAATCTCTCCTGAATGAGGAAAGAAATTTATTGTTAATCTCTATAAAAAGAGAGGACAGAGATCCTTCTTCCTCTAGCGCTCTTCTGCTGACTATCTAGGGCTCTTAAGTTATAAATTTTAAGCTAGTTTCCTTGATTTAGGACTCTTTTTCCTCCTATGACTTTAGAATTGTTTTTTACTTTTTAATTGATTTTGGATTTTTTATAAAAAATAAAATAGTAATTGTTTGATCAGCATATAATAAAAATTATAGGTATACTTATGAGGGTAATCATAATTTATAATGTAAGGCTATAATTATTACTTTGGATATGAAGTTTGTAAATAAAATTATTTTCAATCTGAATGGGCAATATTTCAATTAAAATTTTACTCTATTTTCATTTAAAGGATGGAGGGAGCCATTTTTAATTTCGTTTTTTACTTATAATTTATGATTGCTTTTTAATCAAAATATTTGGAAATTTAAACCAAATTTGGACTAAACTAAATTAGTTAACATGATCAAAGTATAATTTCCAAACCACTTTCATAAAATTTAAGTATTTTTAAATTTTTACTTTAAATTGGTCTATATTAATTTAAAGTAATATTAAATCAGAAAATCTCAAGAAGATACATATAATTTAACTAAGCAGATAGCTAACTTTGCTAAAATAAATTTTATTTCAAATTATTTAAAAATTACTGGATTAAAAATAGAATTCAAAACAACAATAGATAAACTTTTTGTTGAGATATTCAATCGCATATTACTATTCAAAATCTAATAATTATCTAGAGAGATTTAGAGATTTATCAATATAAAACAGAATATGGAAAAATCAAATATAGTTATTTTGTATAATTATATTTTATTTTTTAGGGATTTTCAAATTATAGAAATTCTTAATTTATAGATATCACAATCAAAATACAAAATACGCGAATATTTTAGATAAAATGGGTTAACATCTTTTCCAGAAAACTTCGGAGGAGATTCTAAATAATAAGAACCTTTAGGTCTAGTTAGTATTATCATATTAGGAATGGCAAAAATTTCATCCCATTTGATTTATTTGAAAAATTATTTTATGCTAAAAAAAAAGACACTATTTTAATAATTTAGAATCTCCAAAATTGTTTAAAAATTGTCTAAAAAGAGTCTATTCCACCAAAGAAGATAGTAAGAAGCTCAATCAGTTGTAGCATGAATGTGAAATAGTTAGAAGCAGTGGCTATTTATAAGGCCTATACTTTTTAATCCCAGTTGTAAAATATTTATTTTCAGAAAGTAATAACAATTTCTCTTATTTCAACTCAAATTCTTAAGGTTTTATTAGACGATGTTTGATTGTTTAAAAATTTTGTTAAGTTATAAATGAATTCATATGATTCAAAATACATAATATTCATTTGAATTAAAGAGCATAAATTTAAATAAGTCTTTGAAACATTTTTTAAATTATTTTAAATCATTATAAATATATACATATGAAAATAAATTATTCTTATTAACCAAATTGTTAGAATTTCTAATAATTTGCACTAATGATATAGCACTTTTTCTATTTAGTGTAGGTACAGTTGTTTAATTAAATTTGGAGTAGTCATACTCAAATAAATTAATTTCAAAGAATCAAGTAGTTAGCATATCTTTCTTCATATATTTGATAAAAATATCAATACATTAAATTTTGAAGGCAAAGAAAAAAGAAATTTATTATTAAGTCTCTGCACTTTTTACAATATTTATGTCATCATATTTGACACTTATGTGATATTTAATTCCCACGTAATCAAGGCACACCTACCTCTATAAAATAACATCATCATAACTTTATATGTATAATCTAATTATGAGAATTATGATGAAAAGTAGATTAATTTCTTTTAAACTCATTATTGAGTATGATCAAATATTTCTTTAGTTAAAATAAAATTACATTAAAATTTGCAAAGCTTTCTCATCAATTATTTAATTTTTGAAATCCTAAATAACTTATTAGGAAGAAGATCCAATTATATTTTAAATAGAAAAGAAACCAATTATTTAGGATTTACTGTGACAAATGTTAAAAGTATTTGCCAAATAAAAAAAAGATTAAATATACCCATAAATAACATTATAATGCTAATCTCATATTGATGAATAATTTCATTTCTTTATCAAAATCAATCAATCATCTAATTTATATTTCTTTAGGCTCAATTGCCAAAATGATGCTCCATAGTACCATCATTAGATCCTTCCTTTAATAATAATTCTTAAAATATGTTAAATTAAAATGTCTAAATCTAAAATTTTATTCAATATCCTTCATTTTTTTTCATTTTTACTTAATTCAATTATTAATATTTTCCTCTTCTTACCTATAATAATTAAATATATAGACCAATAACTTATAAGATATATATATAAAATTCTAATCATCTAGGATTTCAAAAATGATGAATTATAAAGATAATTTGGTTTATCATTAGAGATAACATAAATATTTAGAGATTATTAAGATTCCAAATCTTTTTTTTCTCTTAAATACTAGAAAACAAAAGAAGATGGTATAATGCATACTCATAAAGAATTTATTGTTTAAAATAACTTTTAACAATAATTTTTAAGCTTTTGTAGAATGATATGATATGAACATTTAAAAAAGAAGAAGGAAACCAAAGTTTTTTCAAATTAAATGATGATTTAATTGATCAATGATCTTCTACTATTTTTTCATTCGTCAAATTCTGAATAGGCTTCTATTACATCACATCTCACTTAAAATAAAAACTTTAACTTTTCTAACACTGAAGATTGCAATTAGTATTCTGCCATTTTTTTGAAAATAAAAGAAAAGATTCAGGTTAAATAACTGCAAACTGTATAAATTTGTTTCAATAAGCCTGCTACTTAGCACTTACAACTACTTATTATGAGCTTAATATAATAAATATTAAGAGTTTTATGGTTAAATGTTGTTTATGACATTTTATCTCATATTTTTTTTTTTTTAAATGAGCTAGAGAATTTGACTGATTCAATCAATAATAAAAAATGCTTGGATTTATCATAATACCATAAAAATAGTTAGATAGAGAAGGAATCATGCAATTCGAAGTATGCATTTATATAGAATATTAATTTTGCAATTAATTAAATTTAATTAAAGAAATTCATTAATTTAATTCATTTACTTTAATGGGTAATGTATTTATCCAGAATTTCATCTATTCAAGTCTAAAATACCATCTAAATTGTCTATAATACTGGGGTGATTTACAAAACCAATGCACTTTATGCTATTTTGAGACAATTCAACCAGATAACACATTTTTAAATAAATGTCCACCAGAAACTTCATATTTTATTAAATATAAGGGATGCAGAAATATTTGTTCTTTAGACTAATTATTTATTTGTAAATGGTTATTATGAATCATTTAATAGTAAAATTGACATTTATTATAGGATTAGTTTTCTACTGGTTTGGTTTATATGAAAATGAAACTACAGAACTATGAGACTGGCAACTGTAGTATGATTTTACCGAAATAAGTCTTCCTGTTCCTTAAAATCTCTACTTTGAAAATAATTGGATTATGAAATAGAATTAAGGGCTTTATATAATTTAAACATTAGTAATCCTTATAACCTGACTTTACTATATATATAATTACTACTATTTAACGATATACTGCCACCTGAAAGTAATATTGAATTAAGTATTAATGACACGGGAAAATATATAAAAATATTATAATCAATAGGTCAATAGGCAATTATACGTAAAATAAAATTTTATATTTTGAGATATTTACACAGGAATAGGCTATTTAAAGTATTGAGATTTCATTAAGGTATTGTCCCTCTTGGTGTTCAATATGCAGTGAATAATTCAAATGTATTAGGCGTAATACGAATTACTACATTTCAAAAAGGAATTTATGTGTTTTATGCATTGGTAATATTTAATTTAAAATTAATGCCAATAATTGCTTAGATTTGATACTACTGATGCAACAAAATGTACTCTAATTTTAATTAGTGGCAAATTCCAGACTATTAATAAAGAATTTATTTCATTAGAAATTATTCCTGTTATGTATTCTGAGAATCGAGTGGTTAGTTAAACAGGTTAAAATTTGCCTAAATGATCAAATATCTATTATTCGATTTGAAAAAAAAACTGAATCTTTGGAGGACCTTATATATGGGCATAGTTTAGATTTTCTAGAAAAATCAATATTATTGATCTTCATGATAGTTTATCAATAGCTTTTATTGTTGTTGTTGGTCCTTCATTACAAGGAAGATGGTAAATTTATTTTTTTGATTTAAAGATATCTTATTTAAGAATTGACAAAATCGAGTAAATCAAAATTAATATTCTAATAGCACTAACATTATTTTCAATACTCTCATAATAAAGTTGGAATGATTAAATCTGAATAATGAACCTATTAAAGCTTATTGTGGATTTTATCAGTTTTATATTACTTGCAAAAATGAAAAAGATTGCTAAAATAGTGTCCACCAAATAATCACTAAACTATCATATCCTTATAACATTGTTTTACCTGTAAGTAAGGTATCGCTAATCCAACTTAAGGTTATGTTTGTTCTCCTAATTAATATTTTGATAAAAATCAACAACAATGCAAGTAATGCTCTTTAAATTGTGAGGGATGTATTAATGATGAACTACTGTGGAGTTGTGATTAATTATAGCAAATCTCATAAAATATTAAAAGATAAGAATATTTTTTATATTATTCAATTTTAAATGAAGTTCTAAATTCAAATCCATTTTAAATGGAATGTGTAAATATTCTAATATTCTATTGAGGAACAAAAATGGATTCCATGCCATTTATGATAGATCCAAAACATAATTTAATTGATTAAGCATTAGATTCATAAAATTATAACTTTGATGTCATATAGATAGAGATGTTAACAGTAAAATAATAAAATTATAAGTATTGTTTTAATCCTTGAAAGTTACGCTTAAATTGAGGTTGTTTAAAACAAAATCTTTACAATTTATATATATTTTTTTTCAGGATTTAATCTTGCAGAATCTGAATTAATATTTTACAATGATAATAACTTCTAGAGAAGAAATATTAAATTCTACGGAATATTAAACTTGGTTTTCAAAAAAAAAAAAAGTACTCTAAAGAATGTTGAATTGTTACTCTGAGCTTCAGATTTAGACAATATATATTTAAATTAATATTCTAAAGTCAGTGTAAAAAGAGCAATAAACAGATTTTATGAATTTCTTAAGTAATTAGAAGCGTAAAGTTTTTCATTTAATGAATTTAAAATAATTTAGAGTTAAATTTGAAGAAACAGTAAAAAAGATTCTGTTAAAAATTTAAAATGAATAACTAATATTTTAATATTAAACTTTAGGAAAGACTATAAAAGATGACATTTAATTGCTTAAAATTTGTGATTAAATCTTAAATTAGTTTGATATCAAAATTTATTGAATAAATCTATTGCTCACTAATTTTCTTCCAAAAGATTATTATTTTAATAAAAATGAAAAAGATTAAGAATATAAAATTTATTACGAAATTTATGTTGATTCATACAAAATGTAATTTATTTTCATTTAATCATAAGTCTATTTAAGAGTTCTTTTTGCACATATGTATTTAATTTAAACAAAAAAAAAATTTCAATAGATAATAAGATAGATTAAACTTTATTGAAATAGAGTCTTTCACTAAAAGAAGAAATTTAATTTATCATAGAACATTTTAAAATTTTTTTGGAGCTTCTAAAGCCTAAATTCTACTAGTTCGCAATATTTAAAGAAAAATTGATAGAAATGATTCAATTGTAGAATAAATATCCAGATATTAGTTTTGAATTCGTAAGATTAACATATAATTCAATATTGTTTTTAAGTTTTTTGGGAGCATTGTTTTTCAAAGAAGATTTAAATGGAATATAGATATCAGATAAAAATCTCATTTGAAAAAAAATTAACTTAACACAATAGTTAAAAATGTACCTTTAATTTACTGTAAATTTACATTAGCAAAAATAGAAAATGCAAATTCGAAAATTTACTTTGTAAGAAATACTTACAAAAAAATTAAATCAATCATCTTTTTTAATTATGGAGCTACTTTACTTTCTGAAGGGGATGGAAAATTATTTTATGAGATTTAATTCTAAACAAAAACCTTAGAAAGATAATTTCACAATTAGTAGAGATTAAAAGTATCATTCTGTACAGTTGATTACACATTAATAGATTAATTTAAATATTAAATACTTATTCTAAATGGAAAATATTTATCTTATAATAAATATTAACTTTGAAAAATTCTATTTATAAAGATATTTTTAAATCATCCAATAATTAATATCCTGCAATTTAAATTCAAAGTTAAATTTTTTTATTTTTAAAATGTAGAACCTAATAAAATCTTGTAAACCCTACAATTTATCTTTTCCAAAATCTAGCTAAATAAACTTTATTGCAATTTCATCTTTAAGGAGTATTATTATAGGATTATTTTTAATTTTACAAATGTAAAATAGATTACATGTTTACTTACTATTAAAAATGCTTCTAGCACATTCATTTCACAAAATAGCTTAGTAATCGTACTTAGTAAAGTAAAGAAGATGGAAATCAAATTCTGGACAATTATAGATTTAAAAATTTGTAATTTAGGGGATTGATAAAATTGAGATTACTCCGCAAAATAATAAATTATAAGAAATAAAAACAAAGACTAAATTTATAATGCTGCATTGATTTAATAATATTATGATTAAATTGATTTGTAAACTTGTCTTCAAGAAATTAGACTCAATTTCAAATTTTATTTTATGTTGAAGAGAAAGATATTTTCTCCTCTCATATAAGCAGTTTTTTTATCAACAAATGGTAAATTATTAACTTTTAGTTTGAAAAATGGATTCAAATTAATGTTGATAGATTGATATTTAAAATTGGATTAGAGTTCTTTAGTTAATGATTTTTCTATTTCTAATGATTCATCGTTTGTGGTCTTGGCAACAAACTGTAGCATTTGGCTTAAAAATTAAGAAACACTTTACACCTTGGATCAAAAATATTAAAAGTTTGTAGCTATTACATAATCTAGTTTGTAATTTATTTATATATAAGCTATAAATTAAAGGAATGGGAAAGTAATCAATTATTATACAGTAAGAATGAATTTACTATATCAATAGATCGTTTGATATTATCTAATACAAATTACGTTGGGATTAGTATTGATAATAATTTAGATATATTCCTCTTTGTAATCCAATTAAGATACATAATTGATATATTGCTTTTTATCTTAATATATCAATATTGATTATAATAGTTTTTCTTTATTAATTTCATTTATGCAAATTAGATATAGGATAAATTACTTTGGTTTGTGATGGCTATTAGTATTAGTAGGTTTTTAATGGCTATTATTACTAGTAAAGAAAATTAGATTTAATAAATTTTGAATCATTTAAATAATTTAATGTCTAGAATAAAATAATGGTGCTTATTTTCGGAAAATAATTTTTATTTATCACTCAATATTAAGATTAAACTATAATATTATGTGGTTCAACAATGTACAAGCTTTGATCAAAATTCAAAAGTAATAAAACCAATTCTGATCTGATTTCTATCTCAACAAAAGAAATCATACCATAACGAGGTTATAAAGTATTTCAACTTAGGAATTTGAATGCCTAAAGATAAAAATCAGAAATTGATGGTCATTCCGATTCAATTCAATAAATATCAATATTCCCTGATGATTTATAATTATTGTCTGGTTCTTAGATTTAAATAATAAGATGAGAATTAACCAAATTTATAAATTAATCGAAGGATAAAATTTTCACTTTATCTTTTGTTTCTCTGAAAATGAAATGTATTTTGCAACTGTCAATTAAGCCCCTGTTTAATTAAATTTGGAAATTAAATATTTTTGTATTCAATTGAAATATTCATTACAATAACGTACTTTACGAACCAAATTCATTTAAAATTAAAAATTTCGAATAATTATCTAATATCATACTATATTGAATATACATAGAATCTTATATTCTCTGTGGTTAATAGCATCCTATTGTTTAATTACAACTTTACTATTAAATATATAAAATTAACTGATTAATACACAATTATAAGGGAGTTTACAAACCTGATCTATTGCTTTCCTGCTAAAAATGATTATTTATTCTTGTATCGAAACTGTTGAAAAGATTGGAATATTAACAACAAATTTATCTGACTAACAATAATTATAAATAATGTTGGAAACAAAAACTTGTAGAGATTTCTTTAATTGTGCATATTTTGATGAAAGAAAGAATTTAGCTATTCAAAATAATTTTTATTTCTCTTTATTTGATCTGAAATCTATAAAATAATTTGCAATATTAGAACCAAATTAATTTGCATGTTATTATCCTGTAGCAGTAACTATTTTTATCACAACACCACTATTCCATGCAACAAAATTAGATTCGAGAGACTACATCATTAGCTTTCAGGGACATACTTCCCACTTAGCAATTATCATATCCCAGTCTCAATTCTAGATCAAAGCATATCTAAAACCTGTCCAACCATCTCTTCAGACTATACCTACCCCTAAGAAATGTAGATATATGTAAGAGAAGATCTCTCTTAAGTAAAGTGTGATTAAGATCTGAGTCTCATAAATTTATGAACAAATTAAAATTAGATGAAACATTTTATGCAATGACTTTTAATAATAATTGAAAAGCTTAATTAACGAAAATTTATTACCCTGATCTACCTATCTACATTCATAGAGTTTAGAAAGTACCTAAATTGGATGGATGGGCTAGTAATTGCCAAGCTAGTGGATCCTGTATCCCCCTTGGGAAGGTTTGCTAAGTTTTAGGGAAGATTTATATAGAAATGTGATAATCCATAATCATTGATTCATGCTCCCTTTTTCTTTTATAGAATACAAGACCTAAACACTAATATTAAAATTATTTGTTAGGTTTGGTTTGTTGTATCTTCTTCCAATCAATTTTATGCTAAATAAAATAAAAATCTCTTAAGCCTAATCAGATATATTATATCGATCAAATAATAGATCATTTCATCTAAAAATAACAATAAAATTCTAGGATAGAATGATAGGCAATGATTTAAACTAAAATATTCAGTTATATGAATTAATTCTTATTACACATGGTTTGATTAGATTTTTTATTGCTTTGTTAAAACTTTCTAATAATTGTAACTAAATCTAAAGAACTTTGAATTTTTAGGGCGATTTAATTCTTAGTAGTCAAGCTATAAATTAAATAAACAGAAAACTATTAAATCACATCTTAATTAACTAACCATATTAAATCTCATCGATATGAGTTATTCTAATTGAATCATCTTTTAAAGGAACGTAGCATAATTTTTTCTTAAAATAAATAACATCCATGACCTATTACTAAGCACTATACTAACGTATACCATTATTTTTTATAAATAATGTTCCTTCAATTTTAATTTATAGGTTTGGTTCTTCAAATCATTTTAGCTGTTATAAAATATAATAATTAGGATTTTTTTAATTAATTAGACTTGAACATTAATTTTGAGTAAAATGACCTATGAACCAAAATGAAACAAGTGATATAGATTTAATGATCAAGACTAGAAAAACGAATCTAAAAGAAAAAAGGAATTAGATAGATAATTGATAACTCAATAAAAAATTGTAATGTTAAAAGATTACCAGAATTACTTTGCAAATTGTTTTTAAAAACTTCATTTTCATATTCTTAAAATGAGGCGCTAATTACTACTGATTTAGTCGATTTAAATTAATATATATTATTAATATCACATATATAATTGGATGATTCTATATGAAAATAAGGATTTTTATTAATTATATCTTTTTTTTCATATATTTTAAATTAATAATGTAATGAATTGACTACAATATTGATTTACTATAGTACATTAATAAAAGTTTATTAATTTATATAGATTTTTAAATAGATGGGAAATTAAAAATATAGATCTTTATATCTTATTATTTTAAGGTAATTAATTATAATTTTTAAGTAATTAAATAAATTTATGAAAAATTCGTAGACATATGATGCGAAAATATTTGGAGAGTAAAAAAATTAATGATATTTTATTTTATTTAACATCTTTTTAAGTTATCTTATTTTTTGCTCACTTAATAATTAATTTAATGAAATCAATTCTTATAGTCATAAATTATTAATATTCTATATTTTATATTTAATACTCTTAGTATATAATATAGTATTTCATTAAAATTCGAGTCATTAAATTTTTTTGATTCATATATATATAAAATTACAGTTATTTTCAATTTTTAAAATTATCGCTATCCTTATTAATAGTAGAGTCCTGTCTAAAATCTCTATAATGCATTTACTGATTGACACATCATTTGAGATAGTTCATAACCTCTTTAATTCCAAACATACAAAGGAATAACAAGTCATCTCACTCTTATACTCTAGAATTTCCTAAGGGAGTAGTTCATCATCGAAATTTCGATCTTGGTAATTCTCTAAGTTAAATTTATTGCAATTTTTCCTCCTATCTAAATCATCTTTTCAGAAGTATCAACAACCAACACTTGTACATGTACAATAACTTCTCCTTAATTAACATAAAAATTTGGTTCTATGACCTATTTGGAAAAATGCCCATTTATATATCTTTTTACTTTCCTGCTTAATCGATAGACCATTTTTCTCTAATTGAAACAACCAAAAGGTTTTTTCCTTTGTTATAAATTATTATACTCCAAAATCTATTTATTACCTTTTGAGATTTGTATTTGAAGGTGTTCTTTTATGAACCTTTAGCAACTTTTTAGTTTTTGCATTTTGCATACATAAGGGGGTATTTCGAGATACTTTTTCAAAAGATTAAAAAAATATAAAATGAGTTTTTAAGGAAACTATGTTTGTGTTTCAACTCAAAATGTCTATTATTTAATTAAATTGAAGGGAAACAGATGATGTCATGATTATTTTTCTTTTTTCAATATTTGATTTCTAATATCTTTTTTTCACAGTTTATATTTAACTCACTAAAGCTTTGATAGATACAAAACTTTAACTTCTGATTAAAAAACTTTAATTAATCTTTTTAAATAAATATAACGATTGTAAGAAATAAATAATACTTCTAATAGATTTATTTTCGATATAAAACTCAATTTTGAGTGAATCCATATGGATTTTTCTTCTGAAAAAATGAATTCTTCTTATAAATAAATTTGCAAAATATTTTTTTTAAATTCCAATATTTTTGATCAAAAGATAGGAAATTTTTTATTTTTGTATTTTATTTTTTCAATTTAATTATTATTTATCATACATTTAATATTACAATAGGAACGAATGGAAAATTTTACAACACATATAAATCATCCATCCGATAATACACATGATAAATTCTGATTTGCACTTAATTGGATAATTAATAAATTTACTCGAAATATTCTCTAAATCCTTTATATAATTTAATTATCGTCTTGAGTCATTTATTATTTTGTGCAAGTAGCAGCCCTTTATTCATCTTTAATCTCCAACGATTTTCTTTTAAACTAAATGTAAATTATTCATTTTTTTAATCATTTTTAAATTCTTTAAGATATTAAAATATATCATTCTAATATGTAGATCATTTTTTTATAGTAGAGGTTAATTATTTGATAAGATATTATGACTAATATAATATTAAGGGTTTATTATTTACAACTATATTTGAAGCAGTCAAAATCAATATTCACTTATAAATTAGATAATATTAATATTATTGTAATTATTTTATTGATAAACTAAACAAAAATATCTTTATTTTATTCAATAATATGTTTATTTCCAATTTATAAGTATCTCTTTTCATGTTAAAAGAAGTTTGAAGGAGAAGACTATATTAGTTAATTCATGTAAATTTTAATCTAGAAATAAAAAGCGATCTATATTTTTTATATATAAAATACTAATAAGAAAATAGAATTTTCATTTATGAAATAATTAAATTATTCATTCATTTTATTATAAAGTTCTCGTTTTGTTTTGCTTCTAAAGATAATTTGTGATTGAAATAAAGTAATTTCGAAATTTGAATTACAAATAATTTTATATTTATTAAATATTATTGTTAATAGAAATAGAAAATGTTAATTAGATGTACTTAAGCTGATCATTTAAATTAATAAATAATAGGAGTTTGCATTGATAGTCAATGCTAATATTAAAGGCCTTATTGTAATTCATGTCTGGCAAATCATGGTCAGCACTTGAAGAAGTTAACACCATTAGAAATCTTAGATGAGTGGATTCGTAAAAGAGTCATTATTGTCCAGAATGTTCAATAGAAGGCTTAGGAGTGCAAATTAACCCTTGATAGCCTTCTAAATAAATTTATTAATTTATGTAACATTAATTTAGCATAGTTACCTCAATTAGGACTTTCATAGATAGACAACATAGTTAAATGTTTAAGTTTAATTGAATTATGGGAGAAAACTTTACTTAACTAATTCTTATAAGCAATTGAATTAATTAAATAGATAGTTAAAGAAATTTTGGAAAACTAAAAAAAATAAATAAATTTGAGATCAACAGATAATTTATAAATTTTAGAACCTTCAGAGATTAAAGAATAGATTTTTGAATAAAAAAAGCCACTAAAAATCTTAAAACAATTTAATTTTGAACTGATGAATTAAAATTCTATCAAATAAGAAAACTATTGTTTTGCAATCGCAATTAATAAAGATAACTCAATTGTTGTAGCAGGGTGTGGTAAGTAAATTAAAGTATTTGATCTCAAATAAGGGAAATTAAATCAATCATAACTCTTATGTGATCATCAATTTGATGTATCAACATTAAACTTTATGAAGAAATCTAATCATTTTGTATCTGGAAGCGTGGATAAGTCAATTATCATTTGGTAGATGAATCAAAATAATTTATGGATTTGCTAACAAAAATTGGTTGGACATACGAGAAGTATTAGTACTTTATTATTGAATAATAATGAAAATATTATAATTTCAGGAAGTAATGATTCATCTATTAAATTTTGGAATAAATAAAATGGATGGTAGTGTTAATAAACCATTTAAGATCATACTTCTTAAGTCTATTCATTAAATTTAAATGAAAAGTAAGATAAATTGATATCTTGTTCATATGATTCATAGATAATAATATATGAATATACCTATATTGATTAGATATGGACTATGATTTAAAAGATAAAAGCAGAATAATATGGATTTCGATTAAGTTTTATAAATGATAATTAATTCGCATTCTAACCTAGTCATTAAGAATAAATGCATTTATATGAGATAAATAGTAAAAATCAAAAATTTGAAAAGACTAAGTAAATTATTGTGAAATCTGGTTCATGTGGTTGTACTAATCTATTTCCATAATAATACTTAAAATCTAAGTGTCTTTTAGTGAATAAGAATGGTTAGAATATCAACTTAATAAGGAAGAAAGAAAACGGAGATTTTATAACTGAGTTAACTATTGAATTTGATCAATTCTAGATTTATGGTTAATTAAGTGATGATGGTGAATATCTAATCACTTGGGATGAAAAATCAAAGGAGATACAAATTAGAAAATGCAAAGAATTATGAATAATTTAATATATAAGCTTCAAAAATTAGAAGAAATTATAAAATTATTTAATATAATTTTTATATAAAATTAAGCTTGATACTAAAATTTTCTTTGACAAATTTACTAAAATAAATTTAATTTCCTTCTATTATAATGAAGTAATTAATGGAAAAATAATTTTAATTGAAATTAAACTACAAATGCTTGAAATAGCATCTTAATTAATTTGATTTTAAACATTATTCAACAATAATTATTTGGATAAAATTATTGAAACTATATTTAATTAATAAGATCTTCTTCTAATAGGAATATCTTTAAGTTTACAAATATTATCAATTAAGTAACTAAGAATAAAATCAAAGTTTACTATGTCGTTAGTGTAGTGAACTATCTATTTAACTCAACAATCTAATGGTCACAAATATTTAATTTAAGCAAATCCCATTTATTGAGATTAAATAATTGTGATGGCTTTTTAAAGGCAATTAAAATTATAAAGAATAATCCTATTGCATTAAGAAATATAAGAATAGTTAATTGTTATATTTGCCACCAATATCAAAAAAGTATTTACTGAATAAAATGTAGATCAGGCAATTTAATTCAGGTTACGTGATTATATAAGATTTCAAAATGAATATTTGTTTTAGACTTTTGATTTTTTAACATTTTAAATTAATTATCAAAATAATCGAAAGATTATTTCCTTGAAGAATACTCTAAACTTAAACCTCAAACATTTTATTGCAGACTTAACAAGAAAATTAATAATATGAAAATAATTTACTTTTTGGATAATTAAATACAATATGTTAATTTTAATGAACATTAGTATATAAAATATAATTTTGTTTAAATAATACCCATTTTTTTTATCAAATAAGATCTATCAAGTATTTAATTGAAAATAAACTAGTCCATCATTTAAATAATACTAAAATAACTTATAATTAATTAAGGATACAATTAATAATCAATAATTGAGCTATTTAAATTTGAGAAGCTAGTAGGATAATCTTCTTACATGATAATAGCATCTTTCCAAAAAAGAACCTATTATGATAACATATCCAAAAGGAATTAAAATTAAGGGATCAATTCATCTAATGAGATGGATTTATAATTTACCTTTTTGCTTAACTTTAGGGACACTAATAACATTCACTTTATGAAGTCTATGAAACTGAATTAGATGTACTTCTCATGGCCTAATTAAATTGGATTTTAAATTTCTCTAAAATTTTCGATAAGTTTCTATTGTTTATGACTCTAATGTATATGGCATTTGGGCATATATTAACTAAGAAAATAAGTTGAAATAAAGAACCAAATATTGTATTAGAAATAAATCAAAATAGAGAGAGAATAAATTTAAGAAGAATAAAATAATATTAAATCCAATTCTGTCATGACTGCTGAATAATCTTAGAGGTAACTTTTTACTTAGGATCCTATTATTACTCCTATGTGGAAATAGGTTGCCTAATAATAATAACATTCTTAAATTTTTTGTTTTCCTACTAAAGAAATGTAGGAAGCTTAGGATTAAGACTTCTCTTTTTCCAACATTATTTAGCCACAAATTTCTATTTTAAGCCCTGTTTGATTAATTAATGCAGTCTTTAGAATGTCGGTTAATCTAATTTATAAATCTAGGATATTGTCGCTGACTATAAACAAATTAAAGGTAATCTCTTGGCTATAAGATATAAATCTTTCAAATTTTTTTAACTGAATTATTTTAGAATGAGAAGATCAAAGTCAAAATTGTACAATTTTTCAAAAAAGCAAGCAAGATTTAATTAAGAAACTAACTAGACAAAGTCTATAAATCAAGAAATATTGACCTAGGAATCACCGCAGAATAGTTACTGGAGAAGATATGTCTAATCAATGTTCTTTATACCTGGATGAGGATTAGTCTATTTTCAAAACATATTTTGACGTTGAAAATATTTTTGGAATAACAAGAGATGATTTGACTTATAATTGTATTCATTATTTCTAGTTTATTAAGTTTTTTATAGAAGAAAAAGATCATTGAAATTCTTTAAAAGAGCAAAAGTATCAATTTAAGATAAAAAATCACATGAATTAGATCATAGAAACAAAAAATGATAAAATAAGAAAAATGAATCTGAGTAAATAGAGCAGAAAATAGATCACTCTAAATGAAACTTACTTTCATAATTTAAAAATATTTACAAGGTTAAGAGGCAGCAATATTTAGAAAACAACAAAAGCTTTTTTTGAATTTGATTATTGGTTTATAGCACATATTGAAAGAATGGTCATTAATTTGATAATTACTCACTTTTCAAATAAATTGATAAGAAATGCACATGACATGGCAGATATTCAATGTGAAAAAGTTAATTTTTTATATTAAATATAATAAACTGTGAACTGTCTTTTCTTTAGTTAATTTAATATAAGACTTTGATTAAAAATAAAAAGAAAGGATGATTCATGATTTTGAAATTGATGAGTTTTTAAAAATTGTTTTGAATGTGAAAAAATTCACAATTATTTTAAATAATATTAAAAAATAATTGAAGTGACAACTAAACTTTTCAAGGTAGCATCTCAGGTATATTACTTGGTTCAGAAAAAATCCTTAATTTCAGAATAAAGATTAAAAATAATGGCTCTAATAGATTGAATTACCAAAAATTTATCAAAATTAACAAAAATTGAATTATTCAGGTAAGCAAAAAACTAGTAATTGCCATCTTTTTCTAACTCTTTAGATATATAGTGAAATATTTTTCTATTTCTCTCATATAATTATTGGCTTCTAATAAATAACAATATTTTAAGTTTTAACACATGATTTTAAGAAATATTTATTATTTTATTCCTCAATTAAAAAATAATTCACTTCAAAGAAAAACTTAAGAATAAATCCTAATAAATATTTCATAACTGATTATATTCCAGGATTGAAATAAGAATAAAAGAACTCCAGGTTTTACTGCTAAAATATAAATTTATTTATTATATCTGCTTTCTTATAGATCTAATAATCAAAAAAGTATTAAAAATTAATCAAAATTAAATAATCATTCAAGAGTGAAAGAAATATAAAGGAGATTCACTTTTTAACCCTTAAAAAATAATGTTTCAAGTTCTCCAAAAATAATAGAAGAGTGGCTTAGAAAAGACCAAAATATAAAACAAAGAGAGATAAATGAAAAAGAAAAATTAGAAGTAAAAGCTTGGACCATCTCAACTAACAACCTAACAGATTGATATTGAAATATTTTGTTTTGTTAATTCTACAATTTCTATTCTATCTTATTAGTTTACAATTGATTTTAACTATTAGTATTGAAATACTTAATTTAAATAAATTAAAAAATGTTTTGATCAATTAAAATTATGAAAATCATAATTTTATTTTATGATAATTATTACTAGTTTAGATGACATAATTTGAAAATTTAATCAAACCCAATAATAGGTGAAGTACCAAGAAAAACTTAGTTTTTCCTTATTATATCAGAGAATTTATTCGATGGATAATTCAAACATAACTATGATTTAATAATCATATATAATCAGATTTTATAACTGAGAAGATTGAATCGTAATTGATGTTCATATTGAATTCAATTGAATTTCTCATATTGATCACTATTATTTCTTTAATTTGGAATGTAATTGATTTATTCCAATTGCAGCTTTAAATTCCAATTACTTTTCCTTTGCAGTAGAAATTAAAATATATTTATGAATTATTATTTGCCTTTAATATTTTAGATTTTTTTGAGATATTGATAAGCATTAATAAATATCATATCTTACAATATTAAATCGTGAATAATTATATTAAGATTTCTTGTGATTCAATAATCTCTATTACCAATTGTTGTTTAAACCTAGATGAAATTTTCCAGATTAATTATATCTTCCTAATTATGAATTTGAAATTTTCTAAAAATTGAATTTTTATATCTAATAAATTTTATTAGCAAACCTAAGGCGATATAGAAAAATTAGAAGATAATTTATAAAAAATTTTTCATATCAAAATTGATTTAGAATATATTTCAAAATTTAATATAAATTAGGAAAAAATGGTTTGATTGAAATAATAGTGAAAATATTTAAAATTAATTAAATGATTCCTTTTTGTTAACTATTTTTTCATATATTTTCTTATATTAATTTAACTAGTATGATGATCCCAAGTAATTAGATATTCGCCATTATCACTCATTGTTCCAAATATACTTGATGTTCTAAATTGAATGCTTTGCTATATATTAAAATGCAAATCTTATTCATTCTCTGATTAAGCGCTACTAATATTAATAATATTAATAGTTTGACTATTTTTGATGAGATAATTTAGTTCTAGGGAATATAAACAGATGAAAAATATTCGTTACAGGGTTCATTACTCTTTTGACTGGAATATCTAAGGATTTAACATAGTCTCCTGATAGCTAAAAGGAAAGGAAGATTTTAAAATAATTTGGTTTATATGTTTAAAATGCGAATATTTTTTCTGAGATGTAATCCAATCCAAAAACCATTGCTTTCTACATTAATTATTTTAGTAATAAACTATTTTTATATATTTGAACCCTTCATAACTAGGATTACTTTATTATTTCCACATAAATTTATTCTTTTCCACTTCAATTCAATGATAATCCAAGATAAACTGAATTTTCAAGGCTTATAATTTAAAATTAAATCCATTATTAGTGCTTTTGAATTTCAGTAGTTGAAGACCTAAATTCGATGAAATTTGAACCACAAATTATAAGATTTTCACTAAGGTAAATAACTAGATAACGTACACACTATCAGAATGAACCAGACATAAAATTTGGTTTTGTCTTAATCTAATTAAGAGTAGCCATATCAAAGAGTTAATAAGAATTTTCAATAATCTCAATTCACCAACTTTTAACTGGAATAATTTAATTTAAGCATACTCACCTGCAATTAATAATTCATGATTATAGTTGATTGTAATTGCTAAGCATAGTGGTCATCCATAAAAAAGTTGGTATTAGAGTCATATGAGAATTATGGTGTTAACATTTAAAAACAATAAAATAAATTAACCATAAATAAATTCTAAATTATACTTTTAATTAGAAAAATAGGAGGAGGACATTCAGTTTTGAACCTCTCTTAAAATAAATATGGAATCTTAATAATTTATGTCGCTTTTAAACTTTGAAAATTCTGAAAGTTCACTACTCTTATAATTGGATATAGATATAAAGATTTTGATTTTGCTCTCTAGAAATTTTGATAATGTTATCATTCAACTGTTTTCATTATTTTAAAGTAAAGGAATATTGCTTTACTGTCATATTTTAATTAATTGTGATAAACTTTAAAAAACCTAATAATATATTTAATTTTGACATTTAAAGATAATAATCATATGCAAATGATTTAGCAACAATAAATTCAATCTATTTTTAAAAACAATTTTTTGATTTCTTTTATAATTCTAATCCAAATTTTTCAAGTTTTACGTAACCAAGAAGAACATTAATCATCTATATATATATAAATACTAATATTAAAATAGTTGATTACATAGGTAAGTTTTTGATATTTAAATCTCCCTAATAAATTCCTTTTAAGGCTAGAAAAAGAAACCATTATGAAGCTTAAATAAAAAGAAAATCAGCATCCTTTGATTTATATAAATTAAGACACATATTAAAATTTTGTGAATGAAAATCTAGGGATTGAAATAAATTTTGAAATGATTGTTAATTTTGGTTACCTATTCTCTATTAAATTGGTTCCTTTGAATAGAGTACACCCAGCTTTACCTTTTTAAGGTAGCCCTATCATAGGCCTTATTTATTTCTGAAAATTTTTTGAATCATATTTTGTAGAAACCTTCAGAACTATCAGAAGTAAGAAAATTAATACTGTTCAAATTGGTTTTTTATCTTAAATTGGTTGTAATTAACATATTGATCCCATTTCTCATCTCTCATTATTTAGAATATAATTCTTAGCAGCGCCTCTTCACTTTTTCCCTTAAGATATTTTAGCTTTATTTTTATAGAAGAGTATCTATTATAAATGACTGGTGCATCACTTCACATTAATTGTAAAACACATCATTAATAATTCTCTCTTTCTCTTAATTTTAGTTTGATTATAATCTAGACCAAAACATATTATAATCATCAATATAATTAATTCTTCATCATTGCTCAAAAAATCTATATAAGTGACTTTACGCCCAATATATTTTTACCAAATCCATAAAATGCTATTATTTATAGCCCAAATTAAATTACAGTATTTTGAGATCGTTTTTTGATTCTTCTTTTAAAGGAACATAAAATCAATAAAAACAAGGTTTCATTTTAGAGAAAAACTGTTATGTCGGCCACTTTTCATACTCTGATCAGTCTGTTTATCCCCTGATGGGAATATATTAGCATCTGATAGTAATGATTAATAAAATCTACACTAATTTTGGTGAAGGAGGAAAGGAGCCTTTTAAATAAAAATTTAAGCTAGGTACCTCAATTCGATTATTTACCTGTTCTATTTCAGAGTCAGAACTATTTTACAAAAATAGTAGCAAATAAGGATTATTGAAGCTCAATAAATATATTCAGGATTTATGAATGCTCAATTGGAAGTATTCAAAAAAAATTTCATAATTGTTATTAAAAAAATTAAGTTTCTCAATTAACACTAAATCATATTTTGAAATTGAATTACTTTTAATTAAGAATTAATAAATAATTATAACCCAATTTTAGGATGACATAAATTTAACATTATTGAATAATAGTTGAATTATAATTTTTTAATTATAAACATACACATATATATACATAATACTAGGTATTATTTATTTCCTTCTTTTTATATCTTTTTTTATATAGATAATTATACAATTAATAGAATATTGAACAAGTTAATTCATGAAAAACTAATGCATGTTACCACTATCAACTAACAATTTTGGAAATATATAACAATACCAATTATTTATACCTAATTTAAAAGTATTGTTAACAGTTGCTTTTGAATGTAGATTGAGGTTCATATAGACTTTAAGTTAATCAGTAATTAAGAGTATTTTTTGGTTATTAGGGAAGATATAATTATCTCCTTAAATCTTCATCCTTTCAATAATATCCTACTTCTTGATGATTAAAATATCTTTTCAGTCTTTTAAAATATCTAATACTTTTTGATATGAATTAATAAATAAAAATAAATGGTTATCGATACATTACTTTGAATAAAGTGCTTTTGAAAAATCATTCAATCTCTTTTTTTTATAGTTTAGATTAATTCTAGAATTAACTTTTAATTATCGATGCATCTTTTTTATCATCTTTGCTATAAAATAAATCTTTTACTATTTAAACTAAATTTTTTTAAAACTATTAATTTTTTTATAAATAATAATAAAGTAAATCTTTCATATTATCTTAGATGATTTAAAGAGAAGGAAGTTTTGTTACATTACTTTTTTAAGTAATCATTTCAAACATTATTTTAGTCTCTTCATTGTACTCGCTGTTCTCTGTAAACACTTTGTAGAGTATTTATTAAATGTAGTATCATTTAATTTAAGATTTTTATAAATATTAATTGAAAACAGTTTTTAAGACATATCGATAATTATTCCCTACAATAGATTTACCATATATTTTAATAATATAAAAATAAATGAGATGTATATTTAACTGAAATGGAAAAAAACTTTGGAAAAACATATACCTTTTTACCTTAAGAAGTGAAGATGAAGAGAGAATCTGGTGAAGAGGTAATTTTAAAATATTGGATATTGATTGTAATTATAATTGTAATATTGTTAATGAAGAATAAATTTCACATTTATTTAAAATCTTCTAAAAAGCAACTTCCTTTAGATTTAAATAATTATCTAAAATTTTATCCCCCGTAATTTACAAAATCTCCTTATGCTTAAAATAATGGAATTTGAGATATTCTTAGAACTGTAATACTGTTCGATACTAAATAATTATAATGATAGAAATACATAACAGAGGATTGTTTTAAAATAGCGGTGTTTGAAATTAAGCAAGAATATCCTTATAAGTTTTGTAAGCAGGTAAAATTTCTTTTCCATTCTTAACATCCCATAGTCTAATAGATTTATCACCACTACCAGAGGCTAATGTATTTCCATCAGGAGAGAAACAGACTGACCAGATGGTGTCACTATTACCATCTAATTTGACTTTTTATTTCCCCTTTTTGACATCCCATATTCGAATTGACTTATCACCACTACCAGAAGCTAATATATTTCCATCAGAAGATAAACAGACTGATAAGATCCAACCACTATGGTCATCTAATTTGTTCAATTCATGTATTTTTAGGTTCTTCCATTTACAATTGAATAGTTCAGCTCCATTTAAATTGACTCCACTAATGTCAACATTATCAAATTCAGATCCACTCAGGTTGCATCTAACAAAATTACCACTAATTAAAGATGTATTTTCTATTCTGATATTCTCAAAGGATTGGTCTATAATATCAACCTTCATGGATACTAATTAACTAAGCCAATCTGATCCACATTTAATAAATTTTATATCTAAACTTGAAAGGAAAACTACCAATTTTGATAAACTCTATGATTCCCTTGTTATTCTTCACACTCTTTATTAGATCGGATCTTTAATTTTCCTAAGTCTCTGAAGAATAGTCATCTTTACTTAATTTATGATCCTAAATATTTTTCAATACATTTGTGATTTTCTTTATCTACTTCTTGATATCCTTTAATTTCTCTTGCTTATTGATTAAAGATTCATAAAAGTTTTATTTGTTTGTCTTCGAAAAGAATTCAAGGATGTCTGATACTTTTTCTCTTCTAAGTATTTCAAGAATCTTCTTATAAATAGTTTCATCAACATCTTGGATTAGATCAACTCAGTCTTTATTTCTCCTAATGGAAATTCCTTATTTTTTGGTAGTAGTGTTAACTTTATTCGTTTATGGGATACATAAAAAGGATAAGAAATTTAACCATCTAATAACAATTATAAAGATATTTTAACAAAATTTAAAACAACCCTTTTTTAAAACAACCCTTAATGTAAATATTATTCTTTATAATATAGTCACCGGAATTATAACTTTTCTTCTTATCACAGAAACACCAATATTTTAAGCATAAGGAGCCTTAATCATAAAGGGAGATTTTGTAAATTGAAATGGGTACAATTGAAGATCATTATTTGAATCTTAAGGTAGTTTATTTTGGAAAGCATAATCTAAAAGTGAAAAATAATATTTTCAAGAACATAACAAATTTTTTCATAACAATTTATCTTATATTATTTTTTATGATGTGTTTATAGATACCTATTTTAGATCTGTATTTAAAAATAGGTTTTTCAAGTTTGTGTAAATTTTTAAGCGGAAATACAAAAATTTATATTAAAAAAGCAAAATTTGATATTTTTTATTATAATAGTAGAACTAATTATATGACATAAGATATTTTTCAAATTGTTTGAATTACATTTTTGATTAAGGAAATTACTTTTTGAAAATTAAAAAACAAAGTTTTGCCTCTTCTTTTTCACCTCACTAGTGAGTTTTTTTAAGGTGTTAAATCAGTATTACAACTTAAATAAATAATTACTAACATATGAAATAAAATAAGATATGGACTTGTACATTTTTTATTTTGCCAACCGCCAATCAAAATTTAATTTTTGACCCTAGTATTCTCATAAATTTTCTCTTAATTGATAATTTTTATTTGAGCCCACTAGTTTGATCCATATGTGGAATGACTTAAGCATAAATAAATAGGAGTAGACCATCTAAGGAGTAAGGCTTTTTCCCTATTCACCAAATTTCATGTTGCTGATATAATTAATTGAGCATATTTATAATTACTGCATTATCAGAACTCTAACATCGGCATGGTATGGGAGTTAACGAAAGTGAGTTTGTTTAGGGACTTCTTCCGTGATCCTACTTGAACATTTTGGTTAGTTAGACTTATTATAGAATCTATGTGGGGAAGACTTCTTCTTTAATTAATGATCTAGTGGTTAAAATTTGATTGAGCTAATTAAAGTTTATTTTCGAACTTATACTACTTCTAACACTTATTACAAATCAAACTTAAACTTCGTCTGACCTTGAAAAACTGTGATCATTGTTTGGATGGGATAAAAAAAAAGCTTTATATTTACCTCAATGTTTACTTCGTTGACTTGTTTATATCTACTCCCTAATTTAGATATTTTCTTATTATTTTTTGTTCTTTTGACTTTTTTTTCAGGGATTTTGATCTTACTCTATTTCTTCACGGATTTAGTCAATTAAGCTTAAAGTTATTCAATAATATGCCAAGATTTTTAGCGGTCTCTTGACATTCTCAATGATATATCATTGTAAGATTATTATTTTAAGTGATTGGATTACCATATAGAGCTGCTTAAAAGGTCTAAAAAGGCTTAAGAACAATAGCTATACATTATCTGTGCATTGGGGATTAAAGGGTTGACGAATTTGACTATCATATTCTAGTAGATGAATCTTTTAGAATTTCTTAAATTGGGATAATAAATGAAATTGGAGGGTCAGCTAAATACTATTAGTCACTCAAAAACCTGCTGAAACTAATCTAAGAGTGATATGTGGTTCCATCCTCTTTGAAAATAATAGACTGAATCAAAATAAGAATCTTATTTGATTTATGAAATTGCAATATGCACATCTTCCCTTGATAAGCTAGTCTCAACGGTGGGGTTTAGAGATTGCCCAGTCTGCGAATCCGTAAATCTCACTCTCTTGCTTTTCTTTTGATTTCTTTGAGTGTCGTGGTCAGCATTCGTCTCAAAGTGCTATAGAACACTAATAGCTTTCTTTGGGATCGGAGAGGACAGCCTCTCACGTGACCCAAATTTAGACCTCATCAGAAATGAAAGTTATTTTTATTTTTGTTTTATGAAATTTAATACAAAAGGATAACCTTTAAATGTTCTTTACAATAGGTCTAACTAATAATGCCTACTTTAAAAAGTAAATATGAAAAAATTTGTATTAACACAGTTAATAAAAAATATTGGAATCAAGGAAGAGGGTAACCATAAGAAAATTTTATTCAGTATGAAAATGAGAAGGTGAGAAACGAAACGATAGAAGAGACAACTTAAAATTAAATATCAATGGACTAACTCTTTATCATTAACAGTAAATTTATCCAATAAATAATACATCATTAAAAGAAGGAGTTAAGTTTAGATGATTATCTTTTAATCGGTATGATTTTAAGATTACAATATTTAGATTCAAATTTCTTGATTTTTTACTTATTTAATATTGAGACTTTAATTAATATAGTTTTAGCTATTTAGCCTTTTATAAAAATGGAAGATTGTAAAAACTCAAAGTTGTAGAATTTCTAGCAATTAAATTTGCAATAATCTTTATTACTGAAAACGGTTTTATATCATATCTAATAGTACTTTCCATTAATTTTTTAATATTATATTGAATCATTTATTAAATCTTCCTCCATCATAATATTTATACCAGAATTTATTGAAAAAATTCCAAAAACTTCTCGACTTTAGCTCAATCAATTCTTTATCATTCTCAATGAATCATTTCCAATTAATATGGCAATATTTACAAACTATACAATAAGTTTTGAAAATTATAGAAAAATAGGTTCATCCACTTTTCTTCTTTTCTTCCATATTAATACATAATCTACAATTACAATAATGAGTATTAGAAAAAAAAAATAATTCTTCAATTAAATGTATATTACCCTTAGTAATAAATTCTATGGAATCATATTGCTTAGAAGAATTCATAATAATGAATTTATTAATTGTTTTTAGAATTTCTCTAATTTTTTTTCTATAATTAAATCCTTTAAATCAATTATAATTAATTGTATGGTCATAACTTTGACAAATTCTTTTTATGAATTGTATTGCTTTCTAAATTCGCTAAATTTAATTCATTTTCAATTGTTTGTCAAAGTAATAGCAAAAGAGTAAAAGAGTAGAATCAATTAAATATATCTTCTGAATAGACACATTAATTATCTAAGAAAATTCTATTTTTTCAGGAAAGTGAATAATTAAAAAAAAGAGAAAACAAATATTAATAAGATATCTAATAACAAATAAATAAAATATGTATTAGATTTAAGATCAAAACAAATATTAAAATTAATTTGATTTTACGTATTTAATTAACTTAATCTCTATAATCAAGATAAATCCATAATTCTTTTGATGTTATTTTTAATTAAGAAATATCTAATTTATTTATTAAAATCGTATATATAAAACAAAAATCTTTATCTTTATTATTTATTTAATATAAAATTAAAGAATATTAGTTATACAATATTTCTTTAATACTTCATGACATTGGAAATTCATACATTAATTATTAATTAGGATCAATTGTATATATCTTGCTTTAATCAGTATTCAAATATTAATAAGAATTTCATGAAAATTAGTAATATTTTCTATATAATGAGGAATCCTAAAAAGTAAAAGTAATATTATTCGGGCTGAAAAAAATTTGATGTATATGAAGTGATACGCGAGCCTTTATTAAAAAAGTACCCCACCAGATATTCCTTTGAATCAAATAGGATAGAGTTAAGGAATTCTTCTATCAAGATTAGAAAATAATGTTCAAATAAACACAAAATATCTATAAAAAGGGATAGAAGGAAAATTTATGTTTTGTAAGAGAATTCAATTATATTAATATAGCTTTTTATAATCATAAGAATCTGAATACAATAAATGTTATGCCGTCCTTAATATTTTTTGAGTCTTCAATCATATAATGCTATCTTAGACAGATTTTTTATTATCTCTATTTCATTATCTGGTATTATCATAAAAAATATGTATGTCTTATAAATTTTGAACAGGAATTAAAATAAATTAATGAAATTATTTAAATAGATTCAAGTTTTATAAGTTTAGAAAGTTTTTAAGTTAACAAAATCATCATTATTTGTAATTTAATTTAATTCAACTTTATAAAGCATAAACGTTCAAATTGATATTTATTAATATAAACTGACAATAAAAAATTATAATAAGATAAAATAATATAGTGTTTTTAAATATAATAAAAATTTTACCTATCCCAACAGCAACAGCAAGGAGTGGAAGCTTTTTTCCTTTCAATTTTAAAAATAACCCGATTAGAATTTTCAGAGATCTATTAATCATAAAGATCTATAGAACTATAATATATAGCATAAATCTCAAATGGCTGTAGTGGTGGACTAAATATTTGTTCGAAGAAATACCCTGATAATTAATAAGCAGGAAATAAAGATTTTTCTTTACATTTGAATAATTCTTACTTTTATCTTTACTCTCATTAATCATTTGCTGGAGATATATTAAATCACTTTGTATTAAAATCTGATTTTTATTTAAATTTGATAATATACCAGCCATTTCTTCAGTCTGCTGCTAAATAAAAATTCCCATTTAATTTCCTAATATATCTAAACAGCTTGATTTGTGCTTTAATTATAGTCGTTCATTTGACAAAGTTTTGTTTATCTTATGCATGACCAAGTTTTGAGGTTCTCTATCTTGAAAATTGTGAAAATAAAAATTAGGATAGATTGAACTTTGTAGGTAGTGTTGTCACATTTTAGATTTTGTGAATAAATTGAAATATATAATATAAACTTACTTGAAATTATTTAGGTAATAGCTACTATGTAAAGAAAGTCTAAAGAACTTTTGACTATTAGACTCAAAATTTTTAAATTTATATTTCCTTAAAGTGCATCAAAAGAAGATAATGCTTTGATACTAGGAGCTACTATTATGTTTGAGTATATGTATTGTTTGAGTTAAATTTTAGGTTTTGATAAATATTCATAAATAGGGTTGTAATATGGGCTTGCAAAAAATTCATTCTCAAAAAAGGCTCTTTATTAATATAATGTCATATACTTGTAATTAATTTTTTAGATAAGTCTTCTAAATTTGATAAATTATTAAAACGTCATAGCAAAAGTTTAGGGATAATTTTGAAGGATGACATCAATTAAAAGATGGTAAACATAAATAAGAGTTAACTTAATTTATATAATTTATTATAAGCAGAACATCTTCTTTTGTCTCAATTAACCTCAATAGGTAAGGTTACTTTCTCTTACTTCAATTTGGAAAATAATAATAGTCTAAAAACTGAATGGTTTAATTCTAAATCAAATTAAAAAAGAAATTTAGATCGGCTAAAATTAATATATAATGTAAAATTGTCTTTAATATTGTTTACCAGAAAAATAGTCTAAATTCGCAAAAAATAATTACTAATATTCCTTAAGATTAAGAATGGCTTTAATGTACTAATAATTTCGCCATCGATTAACTTTTACTATATTTGATCTTATTATAAATCTTAAAGATTGAATTCATATTTTCCTCATTTAGTGCATAATATAGTGTTGTAAATCATATCTTATTAACAATACGATATTATCAATTTTCACATTTGATCATTTCTATCATCTACGTTTATTCATAGTTCAAAATATAGAATAATTTATTGTTGATTTTTTGTAATGATTATTATCAACAAAATAGTATGCTCAATGAAAATAAGGAAAATTTTAATTATATGTTATTTATCATAGAATTAAAATTTGATAAATCGACTTATAAAAAGAGTTTCAATGTTGGTAATCAAAGATTATCTAATAGATTTGAATACAAAATATTATTATTAATGTATCAAATATCCTTAAATTCCTATTCAGTCTTCCACTATGGATATTTTCTTGGATATTATTAAGTATTATTAATCATCTAAAATTTATCTATTTTTATTCCCTATTCTGTTGAAATCAATTAATCTAGATTCTAAAAAATATTCTCAACAAAAAATTATATAAAAGAATTGATATGAAAAACAAAATCAGTATTATTCAGTTTGAAAATTATTATTTTTCTATTTTTGTTCAAAAATTAATTCGATCAATATTTAATTTATTTCTAAATTAAAAATAAATATCAATAGACCTTTTTAATTATCATTTTAGTTTTTTATAGTTTGTTGATGTAAAATATGATAATTTTAATATGAGAAAGGTAATTAATTCTCTAAAATATTATAT